TGTATCTTTCTGAGTTGAACCAGTCTTTTATCCTTGATATTGCCTTCACTTCTTCTCCATTTGAAAGTTCTATACCTACACCATTTATTCCCTCTTTTATTGTGTTGAAATTATTGTCATTTACAGTTTGACTTCTCTGTTTCCTCGTTTTAAGTCCTTTAGCTTTGTTTTATTATTGATAGTTCCTCACCTAGGTTGGTATCTGGCTAATGCTGTCCTGCAGTTGTTGTCTGATGTTGTTGGTTCTCTAACAAATTTGGTTTTGACAAATCCCCTTCATTTCTTTTTCTTCTGGAAATGTCCTACTTTCGCCATTGTGTTTGAAAGAGTTTGCAGGATATATTATTCTTGGTTGGCAGTATTTTTCTTTCAAGGTTTTATATATGTCATCCCATTGCCTTCCTGCCTGTGTAGTTTCTGCTAAGTAATCAAAGCTTAGTCTTAGTGTTTCTCCTTTGAAGTGACTTACCTTATCCTCAAGCTGCTCTGAGGATTCTTTCTTTGTCTTCTGTTTTGACAAGTATGATTATGATATGTCTTGGTGACTTTCTTTTGGGGTCTATCCTAGATGGTGTTTGTTGAGCTTCTTGGATGGTCAATTTTTCAACTTTCATGATATTTGGGAAGTTTTCTGTCAGCAAATCTTCAGCTATGTTCTCTGTGTTTTTCATTTTCTCCCCTTGTTCTGGGACTCTGATCATGTGCAAATTTTTGCTCTTGATTGTGTCACACCTAATTCTTAGGTTTTCTTCATTTTTTTCATTATTTTCTCTGATTTTTCCTCAAACAAAGTGGTAGCCATGAGTTTGTCTTCAACTTCATTGTTTCTGTCTTACATTGTTCTAATTTGCTCCTAAAACCTTCTAATACATTGTTTATTTCTAAAATTTTGTTGTCTATCTTTTGGATTTCTAGTTGTTGTTTTTGTATGATTTCTAATTTTTTTAAATTATTATTATTTTGATATTTTGTTCTTGTATTATTTCCTGAATTCCTCTATTGCTTTCTCTGTGTTTTCCTTGATTTTGGCTATGTTTTCATTGGTTTTGTCTATGTTTTCCATGATTTTGTCTATTTTTTCCTTGGTTTTGTCTGGGATTTTCTTGATCTCTTTCCTAATATCTTGGATAGCCCTGAATATTAGTCTTTTAAATTCCATATCAGGTGCCTTTCCTTCTACAGGAAGGTCATATGATTGTTTATTTTGGTCACTTGCTGGAGCCATCTTGTTCCACTTTTTTATATGTTTTGATATTGTTTGCTGCCCTCAAGACATTACGGTATCATTTTCTTTATCTATTGATTGTATGTTCATTTGTTTTATCCTGCTTCTTTGTTTTGTTTTGATATGTCAGGGCAGATGGGTCAGGTGTGTTTTGCTGCTTGCTTATCTGTGGGCATAATAGCTCTCACTATCTTATCTGGGTGGGCAGGGCAGCAGCAGGCAGGGCAAGCCTATTTCACTGTATACTGGTTTGGCCAGGTGGCTGAAGGCAAACTGGGTGGGCACTATCTACCTCCAGATGTTGGTCCAGCTGTGTGGGAGTGCTCACAGCCCTTCACCAGATAGATGAGGGTGTCTCTTGGGGAGTGGTATGGAATCGCTTCCCACTGTTCAGTTGAGTGGTGGGAAGGGACGGGCTGTGCGGGCCCGGTGCAGTGGTGGGCCTGAATGCCAGGGATGTTCTAGCTATGGCAGCATGGCAGAGGCCAACAGGAAGGTGGTGTGGCATACAAGGTTAGGTGGAGGGAGAAAGAAAAGAGAGAGTGAGGGAAAAAAAAGGGTAGCCAGCAGGTTGGGGTGGGACAGAACTGGGGGTCTCTAAGATGGGTGGGGCGGTGATGTAGTGAGTAAGTTGGAGGTAGGAAAAAAAAAAGACAAAAGAAAAACAAATAAAATAAATGACAGTGTGGTAGAGGCCGGCAGGTGGGGGCAGGGCAGACCGGGGGCAGTGTCAGGATTGTGTGCCAGTGGCACTCTATCCATGGCTGCATGGCGGTGGCCAGTGGGAAGGGGGGGGAGGTGGCATATGGGGCTAGGTGGAGGGAGAGAGAAAAGTAAGAATGGAAAAAAGAGAAAAAAATTGGCAGCATGGCAGGGGCCACTGAGTGGGGGTAGTGTGAACCTGGGAGCTGGTGGGAAGGGAGGGGAGGTGACAAAGTGGGCTAGGTGGTAGGGAGAAAGAAATAAAAAACACTTCACAGTGGGGACCATGTGTGGGGTGGTGGGGCAGACCCAGGGCAGCAGCACACCAGTGCATCAGTGGCTCTCTAGCCACAGTGGCATGGCAGGGTCCAGCAAGAAGGGAGTGGTGGTTATGTACAGGGCTAGGTGGGAGGAAGAAAGAAAAGGGAAAAAGAAATGGCATGGTGGGAGTCAGTGGGTGGGAGCAGGGCAGACCCAGGGTGACAGTAGGCTTATGGCTCTCTAGCTGCTGTAGCATGGTGGGATTTGGCAGCCACAGGGTGAGGTGGCATACGGGCTAGGTGGGAGGGAGAAAGAAAAGGATGAAAGAGAAAATAAAAAAATAATTTAAAAAACTGGCAGCATGGTGAGGGCCGGCAAGTCAGGATAGGGTGGACCCAAGGGCTGGTTGGAATAGAGGGGGAAGTAATGTAAAGCTAGGAGGGAGGGAAAAAGAAGAGAAAGAAAAAAGGCAAAAAAAAAAAAAAAAAAAAGGGCAGCGTGTCAAGAGTCGGTGCGTGAGTGCAGGGCGAACCCAGGGCAACAGCAGGCTGGTGGCTCTACAGCTGATGCAACGTGGTGTGGCCTGGTGGGAAGAGGTACTGGTGGTATACAGGGCTACATGGGAGGAAGAAAGAAAAGGAAGAAAGGGGAAAAAAGATGCCACAGCGGGAGCCAGTGGGTGGGAGCATGGCAGACCCAGGGTGGCAGCAGGCTGGTGGCTCTGTAGCCAAGGTGGCAAGGTGCGGTCCAGCTGGAAGGGGTGGAGGTGGCATATGGGGTAGAAGGGTGATGGGTGGGAAAGTGTGTTTCTCTGGTTATCAGGTACTGTATCTCCTGGTGGGAGCTCCATGAAGTTGCCTTCCCATACTCCTTGTCCGGGGTCACTGCTGGCTGTGTTCCAAGATGATGACACTGTGCTATGTTAGTTGGCAGGGAACACCAACTCTTTATCTCTCCTCGTTCTCTGTTTTCCCTCAGTTTCTTCTTCCACCGGTGTTTCATCTAGTTCTTCATTTGATACTTAGGGTTCCAGAATTGGTATTTGTTATCTGTTTTACAGGTCTTTGCTGCAGAGGGACGGCATGATGCATCTGTCTAGGGTGCCATGTTGGCTCCACCTCTTTATTTTATGTTTGAGTTCTTTTAGCTTTGCTTTGAACTCTTATTTCAAAGAGGCAATTTTTTCATTAATTTATTTTATTACATGGAAAATATTTTTTTCCTGCTGCACATTTGCAGAGATCCAAGAATGATTTGCTTTTATTATTATTACTCATTGCGATGTGATGGAAGCTCATCTTTGTTTGAGGGGAGTTCTTCCACAGGTAGTAGTTAATTAAGGTCAGGGAAGGCCTTCAGTCATAGCAGGCACCACGAGTTCTCATCTTTGTTCTGGAGACAAGCTCATTTCTGCTCTGACCTGTAAATATGACTATGCTCTGTGCTGGCTGGTTATCTCCTTGGATCTCAGGGAAACCACAACTAGAATGTACTTGTCACTGGAGTACAGACTTCATCTTTATTTTTCACTGTTTACCTAGCATGTCCACCACCTGTCTGTCAATTTGTTGTACTGTGGTAGCTTCCATGTTGCTATGATTTGAGAAGCTGTGCCACTGGTATTTCGAACATCAGCAGGGTCACCCATGGAGCTTCCAAACTAAGAAAGACTAGAAAGAAGGGACTGGTGATCTACTTCCAAAAATTAGCCTGTGGAAACCCTATGGATCACAATATAATATTGCCTAATACAGTGCAGGAAGATGAGTCCCCTAGGTTGAGAAGCACTACACAATAGCCACAACAATGGACTCAAACATATTAATGATTATGAAGATGGTGCAAAACTGGGCAACATTTTGTTCTGTTACATACTAAGGACGCCATTAGTAGGAGCCAACTCAATGGCAACTAACAACAACTGAGCACACAGTGTGTGGATTTGTGTTAATTTTTCTTTAACTGACAAGTGGTGTGGCTCTAGGTCTGTGAGCCACCAACAGTTCCTCCTCTAGGCTGCCACACCAACAAATTGCTTCATACAAAGATAACTCATCTGCATGGTCTCTCCTTCAGTCTTATGTCCCCAAAGCTCTGCTGTATTAGTCAGATTCTGGGTGGTTCCTTTGCTTGCTCTATAATGTTTTGTTCCAAACAAGGGATCTTTGGTTGGAGAGTTCTGTGCTCTCTTGGAAGTGGCAGCATCCTTTCTTCCTTTGGATTAATTATCATTGTACTGGGCAGCCATTTTTGGAATTATTGGTTGGTCATGGGTCTGCATCTTAGATATTTCTTAGTTTCAGGGATGATATCTTAGATATTTCTTTTTCTCAATCTCTTTATTACAGTGGTAATCAGGAATAAGTTCCTGTGTAGCACAAATGGTTAAGAACTCTATTATCATCCGAAAGGTTGGTGGTTCAAAACCTACCCAGAGGTACCTCAGAAGACAGATTTAGTGATCAGCTTCTGAAATGTCACAGCCTTGAAAACCCTATGGAGCAGTTCTACTTGGCATACATGGAATTTCCATGAGTCACAAATGATCCAATGGCAACTAATGACAAATAAGAAATAAGGAGGCAGATAGATATTTATGCCACCACTTTAAACTGGAAATCACATCATACATTTTAAATGATTAAGCAGTTCTTCAGTTCTGACCAGAGTTGCCAATATTAACTTTAGAGAATATTAGTTATGCAAATGGGCCTCATGATTTGGAATAGTAACTGCTGCAAACCTCCTTTAGAACTTAAACAAACATTTTGATATAAAGAAAATTGACAAAAATAATTTCGCATATGCTTACCCCAGTAGCTTGGTAGCCAGAAACACCCACTAAGGGACTGTCTTCTGCCTTTGCGTCCACTGTGCTGTTGGATTGTTTTTCTAGAAGAGGCAGATGTAGGCTGTCGGACAAACTATTAATCTTCAACAGCAGTTCATCTAACAGTTCTGCAAATTCATCCAGGTAGTAAGTCTGAAGAGAAGAAAATTAGATTAGTAAATGCATTCAAGAACCGAATTCTTTCCTCATTCTCTGAAGTACTTAGTAGTACTGGCTTTAGATGGCAACATGGTATGTTTAAAAAAAGAAAATACTGAACTCTGGAGTCAGAAGATTTGGGTTCTCAGCCTGTCTCTTCGTGTCTCTATATATGAGTTTCCTTATTTATTATAAATACATACAGCTGTGTACATGAAGGTTATAGATAATAATGCCTAATAGAGGACTAGCAAATAGACTCCAATGCAATGAAGTATGGGAAAGTACGTGATAAACAGTAAAGTCCTATAAAAATGCAGAATACCATGATTCCATATGACTGGCTTCAGAACTACACTGGATGATATAAAACATCAGCAAAAGAATATAGCTGGGGATGCAATGTGCAAACAACTGCCTTGGTTTGTTTGCATTTAGGTCTGGGGTGACTAAAGCCAAACTCTGCACCTAAGCCTCCATGTTTTGGGTAGAAGTTTTAGTTTGTTAGCAGGTACCAAAAGCAAACGACTAACTTTAAAAGGGACAGAGTAGAGTGTATGTGTGTGTATGTGTGTGTGTGTGTGTGTGTGTGTGTGTGTGTGTGTGTTGGTAAGGATCATTAACTCCATCTTTCCAACCTTAGAGGGCCATTATGAGGATATAATGAGTTAATCAAGGAGAATGTGTTTGGTAAGCTGTAAAGTACTTAACAATTTCAAGGGAAAATTCTGTAAGTTCCACTACAGTTGAAAACTATTTTGTGTCTTTGCAATGATATCTGGTACAGAATCACAATTACAGTTTAATAGCTCGAAGCAAAATCCTACAATCAAATCATGCTCTAAAACGTGCTATTGTGTTCAGTGATCCAAGAACCCCATGGCTTACATGATTCTCAACCATCTGAGTCTCTTCCAACCTTGGCCTTTCCAGTCCTAGAAAGGTGAGGGCCTTCCCCCATGTGTGAGCAGTGACATCTTTAAGTCTCACAAGATGTTTACTTGGAAAAGATTTTCTTTTCCTGGCAAAAGTCATGAAGGAACCTCTCAGCTGAGGGGGGGAGAAAAAAAGATAAATTTCATGTTAGCAAATTGAAAAATGGCTTTGTTAAATTTTAAAACTGTGAAATACAGATTATATCTGATGGTGCTATTTTATGACCTTTTGATAAAAAGGTAATTGCTTGGTAAAAATTAGGCAAACCTCTCAGTAACTGAACTAAATTGCAGTAAGATGATCTCAGCAGCAGAAATGGGTCTTCTTATAGAGGAGAGTCTCAACTTCTAACAGTTGGGGCTGGAGTTGATTAGGATGACGTCCATCTCCACATGCAAAACTTGCTTCTAAGTTTCAGAGTCACCTTGTGAGCCATGATGGACTGTGAGTGAGGCATTGTAAGACCTCGACCATGCCCAGCAAACAGCAGGTTTGCCAGAAACCTGGGAGGAAAGGCACTCAGTATATAAACTGTCCCTGGTTGTAAGTAGGTCTGAACCCACTACTGCTTTACCAGCAAAAGTAGCCACATGATATTGAGACCTGTGGGGATGTGATCTTTTATAAATACAGACATCAATATATTACTGCTCTTTGTTTTGTATAATGCCATGGATTGAACTGTGTCTCCCAAAAATATCTAGTGTAAATCCTAACCCTTATGCCTGTAATCCCACTTGGGAACAGGATTTCATTATGTTAAAGGCCATATCATTGTAGGGTGTGTCTTAAACCTAACCACTTTTGAGATATAAAAGTGCGGATTAGGTGCAGAAGCAAGTAAGAACAAATGGGAGAAAGATAGAGGTCACGTGGAGATCTCCAAGGAATTTAGAGAATGCTGGAGAAGCTGAAACAAGGATTTTCCTCCAGAGCAGACAGGGAGAGACTTCCTTTAGAGCTGGTGCCCGAATTTGGACTTCTAGCCTCCTAAACTGTGAGAAGATAAACTTCTCTTTGTTAAAACCACCCACTTGTGGTATTTCTGATACAGCAGCTCTAGGACACTAAGACAGATGATAATGTCTAAATGCCTTAGCTTGACATTCAAGGCCCTCCATTCCCGGCTCCAACCGCCCTTTTCAAAATTACGTCAGCTCAACTCCAAACTAGCCTGGCCCTCCCTTTCTGCCTTAGTTCTTGCTCTGCCCCCTGCCTACAAATTCTGTTGCCAATTTTCTCCACTAGCTGATCTCCTGCTCACCCAAAAAGGCTCAACCCAAATATCACATCTCTTCAGGAAGAACAAATTAGTTTCTAACCTAAATTCCCTGATCTTTGAGGAAACTAGTTAGGCTTTAAGACTGCATATGATTGTGCAGGATCTGTATGCTGAAAATTACAAAACACTGATGAAGGACATCAAAGATGATCTAAATAAATGAATAGATGTATAGAATTCTTGGATTGGAAAACGTATTCTCCCCAATTTTCATTTATAGATTCAATGCAATTTCAACCAAAATCCCAGCATGATTTTTTTGTAGATGCTGACAAGCTGATTCTAAAATTTATGTGAAAAGGCAAAAGAACTAGAGTAGCCAAAACTGAAAAAGAAGTACAAAGTCAGAGGACTCATCCTCTGTATTTTAATACTTAAACAATAGAGTGATAGTAATCAAGACAGTGTGGTATCGACACAAGGCTAGATCAGTGGAACAGAAATGAGAGTGCAGAAATAAACAGATTCAGTAAACTGATTTTTGACAAAGTTGCAAGGACAATTCCATGGAGAAAAAAATAGTCTTTTCAAAAATGGTGCTGGACCCTGAGGGACTGAAATGTGGGGCTGAGGGCTGTGGGGTCCATGGTCTCCAGGAACATCTTGCTCAATTGGCATAACATAGTTTATAAAGAAAATGTTCTACATTCTACTTGAGTAGCGTCTGGGGTCTTAAAAGCCTGTGAGCAGCCATCTAAGATACTCTACTGGTCTCACCCCTTCGGGAGCAAGGGAGAATAAAGAAAACTAAAGATATAAGCAAAAGATTAGTCCAAAGGACTAATGGACCACAACTACCATGGCCTCCACCAGACTGAGTCCAGTAAAACTAGATGGTGCCTGGCTATCACCACCGACTGCTCTGACAGGGATCATAGTAAAAGGTCCCAGACTGAGCTGGAGAAAAATGTACAACAAAATTCTAACTCACAAAAAAGACCAGACTTACTGGCCTGACAGACTGGAGAAACCCTGAGAGTGTGGCCCCTGGACACCCGTTTAGCTTAGTAATGAAGTTGCTCCTGAGGTTCACCCTTTAACCAAAGATTAGACAGGCCCTGTTTTAGTCATCTAGTGGTGCTGTAACAGAAATACGACAAGTGGATGGCTTTAACAAAGAGAAATTTATTCTCTCACAGTCTAGTAGGCTACTAGTCCAAATTCTAGGCATCAGCTCCAGGGGAAGGCTTTCTCTCTCTGTTGGCTCTGAAGGAAGGTTCTTGTCATCAATCTTCCCTTGGTCTGGGAGCTTCTCTGAGCAGGAACCTCAGGTCCAAAGGACGTGCTCTGTTCCCAGTGCTTTCTTGGTGGTATGAGGTCCCCCCTCTCTGCTTGCTTCCTTTTTGTTTTATCTCTTGTAAGATAAAAGGTGGTACAGGCCACACCCCAGGGAAACTCCCTTTACATTGGATCAGGGATGTGACCTTAGTAAGGGTGTTACATTCCCACCCTAATCCTCTTTAACATAAAATTACAATCACAAAATGGAGGACAACCACATGATACTGGGAATCATGGCCCTGCCAAATTGATACACACATTTTTTGGGGGACACAATTCAATCCATGACAGCCCCATAAAACAAAGCAAGACTAAAGGAGCACACCAGCCCAGGGACAAGGACTAGAAGGCAGGAGGGGACAGGAAAGCTGGTAATAGGGAACCCAAGGTCGAGAAGGGAGAGTGTTGACATATCATGGGGTTGTTAATGAATGTCATAAAAGAATATGTGTACTAACTGTTTAACAAGAAGCTAGTTTGTTGTGCAAACCTTCTTCTAAAGTACAATAAAAATAAATAAATAAATAAAATGGTGCTGGAACAATTAGATATCCATATATAATAACACTAACTTCAGTCAATGTCTCACACCTTATACTAACATGAACTCAAAACGAATCATTGACCCAAATGTAAAATTTAAAACTGTAACTATTTTAGAAGAAAACATGAGAGAAAATATGCATAACTTTGGGTTAGGCAATGAGTTTTTAGATATGACACCAAAAACACATTCCATAAAAATAACTGATAAACTGGCTTTTATCACAATTAAAACATTTGCTCTGTGAAAGACAATGTTAAGAGAATGGAAGGAGCCACAGACTGGGAGAAAATATTTACAAATCACATATCCAATAAGTGACTTTTATCTAAAATATAAAAAATTGCTGTGATTATATGTTTATACTCATGTCTTATTCCTATGGACTGTGAGCTCCCTTAGGACAGGGACTAAATTATTATCTTTGTTTTGACATTATCCGCTCGTAATAGGCATTCCATACATACTTGTTGAATGAATGCATGAGTGAGTGGATGGCTGGATGGATGGGCAGCTGCTGGCTGAGTGGTGAGTAGGGAGTTTGGAGAGCTGAAAAGAGCAGGGGTTTGATCCTCTGAGGCAGATGAGTACTTATTGAATAAGAAGACAATGTGTTCCATGTCTGACTCCTTTGCAACAAAATCCCCAGTATGCTGAAACAAAATGCAGACACCAGCCAAGGCCTCAAGCATATAAAAAAATAGATCAAATAACTGAACTCTAGTTCACAATAAAGGTTGGCTGATTGGATGTTTTTCAGATAAAAGATTGAGATAACAAGGCCAGAGTTATCTCTGCCACAGCATAAGCTTGTGTGAAATATACTTCAGAGAGAGAGAAGAGATGAGCTTCAGCATGGGCAAGGCAAGGCAGGCTGGGAGGCTTCCTGAAGGAGGAGGTGTCTTGCTGGAGCCATTCTAGACTAAGCAGAGTCAATGTTATTGTGTCCAGGCCCTGCCCAGGGCAGGTCAGATGGGCTAGGGGTTTGTTATCATGAGACTTGGCTTGTGCAGAGTGGAAATACCCATATGCACCAAAGAGAATGCTACCAAAACATCAGACGATGCTCCCACAAACCTTTACTTTGAATTCTGGCCCGCATATACTTACCATTACCAGCCACAAAATGGTCATTACGGTAAAAATGGCTCCATGGTAGCAAGCCACAGCCCGCTGGTTAGACTTGGAGAGGCCTGAGAATGCTTCTCTTCTGCTCCTTCCCAGAAAAGGAAACGGCAGCATGTGGGAGGAATCTGCAAAGGTGCTCAGTGGCAGAGCCTGGGAGGAGAGCAGGAATCTGTGCAGGTGTGAGTGGATGGCCACCATCAGGACCCCGGCCAGCTGCAGGGAAGAAAACCCACCAACCAGTGACCTCACACCACTCTTCCCGGGAGCAAAGACTCCTTTGTGGACTTGTAAACGCATTAACATACAAAAAGCTTGGAGAAAGAGGTTTTTGAGCATTAACCACATCATCCCTAGTTTAACAACTAATCCTCAAAGATTCAAAGGTTTAAGTCAAGACCAGTTCCCATCTGGCCAAAACCCATCTCAATCCTTGTGCCCGGCACCCCCTCATGCTTCTGTCTCACCCCTCACCCTGCAACCTTCACCAGTATCCCCCATACTCGGGACACCCACCCAGCTCGCCAAGCTATGGCTGAGCCCTCTCCTCTATCTGAAGTGCTTCTGCTGCCCAGCACCACTGGTCAGACCCCATTCTCTACTCTTTAAAGTCTTCCCTTCATCTTTCAACGTCTCTCTGACCTCAGGACTGTGTGCGTGCTGCTGGTGGGAGTGACTGCTTCGTGAGACTCTCTGCTCTAACAGCCATGATTGCTGCTATGTCCCCAGCAACTGGCAAAGGCTCAGTGAAATAAACCACTCAATAAATGACCAACCAGTTGCCATGAGTTGATCTTGACTCATAGTGGCCCCATGTGTGTCAGAGTAGAACTGTGATCCATAGGGTTTTCTTCACAGCTTCCAGGCATGATGATCAGTGACATTGGTTAAATTCTTCATATTATGTCAACATTCTCATTATTTCTGTTCTAGTTCTTTCACTTCCCTCCTTGCCCCTCAACCTTCTCATCTATACTTTAAACTAGCTGTTGACCCTTTGGTCTGATATAATTTTTTTTTAAAAATTCAATACTCAAGAGTGACAATCTTTACTCTTTGGGCTAAACTGTCACTTAGTTACAAGGTGACTTCAGGGGATAGTTTTAATTCAAGGTTTGAAGAGCAACTCAGGGCCACAGTCTCCAGGACCCCTCCAGCCTCAATAGGTCTAGTAAGTCTGGATTCTTTAAGAATTTGAAGTTTTGTTCCACATTTTTCTCTCTTTTTATCAGGATTCATCTATAGTGTTCCTGATCAGAACATTCAGCAGTGGTAGCCAGGCACCATCTAGTTCTTCTGGCTTTAAAGTGGAGGAGGCAGTGGTTCATGTACACTACTAGTCCAGTTTCTTCTCTGATTCTTGGATTTCCTTCTTTCTCTTTCATTCCAGACGAATGAAGGCCAATCGTTTTTATCTTAGATGGCTGCTCATAAGCTTTCAAGACTCCAGACACTACTCACCATATTGGGAGGTAGAACATAAACCTTAGAAACTATATTTATACCAGTTGACTGATGGTCCGACAAAACCATCACCCTAAGCCCCAAACCAAGAAAATTAATCTCATGAGGTGATTAGTTATTTGGTTATGTCTAATTAGTACCAGCATCTGTAGCCCCCACCCTTTTTTTAGTTGTTATTATTGCAAAACTATACACCACTTATGTACAGCTTATTGACATCAGTTACATTGGTCATGCTGTGTAAAATTCACCCAGATTCGGTGCCACCTTTCCCATTTCTAAAAACAAAAAGTGACCACTACTTAGAGAGTACTTCTGCCTCCCCCATCAAACCCCTGGGAACCACTAAGGAACATTAGTTTCTGTGCATTTACCTATTCCTGTCATTTCATAAAAATGAGAACATACAATATTTGTATTTTTGTGATTGACTTATTTTGCTCAACATAATGTCCTCCAGGTTCATCACGTTGTAAGATATTTTGGGAACTCATATTTCTTTATCACTGAGCAGTATTCCATTGTATACACGTACCACATTTTACTTATCCATTCATCTGTTGATGGAACTTGGGTTATTTCCATCTTTTTGCTACTGTGGACAGTGCTGCAATGAACATAGGTGTGCACGTTTGTTCATGTCACTTCCTAGGGTATATACCTAGGAGTTGAATTGCTGGGTCATATGGCAGCTCTACCTCTAGGTTTTTGAAAAACAGTCGGACTCTTTTCCACAACAGCTGTACCATTTTGCATTCCCACAAGCAATGGATTAGGGTTCCGATTTCTCCACATTATGTTGTTTTCCTTTTTTATAAAATCTTAGTCATCTTACTGGTAGTGAAATGGTATTTCATTGTGGCTTTGATTTGCATTTCTCTGATGTCTAATGACGTTGAGCATCTTTTCACGTGCCTGTTGGCCATTTGAATATCCTCTTTGGTGAAATGTCTGTTCATGTCCTCTGACCAGTTTTTGACTAGGTCATTTGTTTTTCTGCTGTTAAGTTTTAGAATTTTTCTATATATTTTAGATATTAGAACCTTATCATTTATATCTTTCCTGAGTATTTTTTTCCAGTATGTAGGTTGTCTCTTTACGCTTTTGATCCATAGGATTTTCAAAGGCTGATTTACTGGAAGATCACCAAGCCTTTCTTCCAAGGTGCCTCTGTGTAGACTCGAACTTCCAATCTTTGGGTTAGTAGTTGCGTACCTTAACTCTTTGCACCACCCAGGGACTACTAATAAATGATAGGAAGGTCAATTTTAGTTAAATTTAGTTCAGATTAAGTGTCCATGCTCCAGTTGTTGTAACAGACTGAGAACTGGGCCTGGGATCTAGGGGTTGCATCATGCAGGACCCTGTGTATTTTGTTCAGTCAATCCACTCACACATCTTGGGAATGACAAGTATTTCCTCGGCCTAGATGATGGACTCTTGGCCTGTCATACCAGGTCCACACAGGCCACACAAGTGGACCAGCCTCAGAGGTGCCTCTCAAGCTCCCATTCAGCCCAGCTGGTCCTCCCTTTCTGTTTGCTTCTAACCCAGGTCCTGCATCGAGAGATCTTCCTACTAACATCCCATTATTTGCTGCACAAGTGGAATTATGACAACAGTCATGAAATCAGAAGGAAAAAAATGTGATCCATGAGTCCCTTCTCTCAGCAGATGATGCTGTTTTGTTTCCCTGAACTCCTCTTAGCCCCTGTCCATCAGCATTCATAACATCTAAACAGGTAGAATTTTGTGACTTGATTTGGACACAATTTATTTATATTCTGGGCTTTTATTCTTTAACATGAAAGCATTTTTATATGCTCCTAAAGGGTCTTATTTAGTAGCCTGTAAAATGGTCTTAAAGGAGCCCTGGTGGCGCAGTGGTTAAGTGCTCTGCTGCTAACTGAAAGGTTGGTGGTTTGAACCCCCCAGCCACTCAGTGGGAGAAAGATGTGGCAGTCTGCTTCCATAAAGATTGCAGCCTTGAAAACCCTATGGGGCAGTTATACTCTGTCCTATAGGGTCGCTATGAGTTGGAATCAACTCAATGGCAATGGGTTCGGTTGGTTTTAAATGGTCTTAATAATGACCAGTTTAATAGTTAGATCAATTCCATATACACATAATCTCTAAGCCCAGTAATAACCCTTCCAGGCTTGGTAATTGACCCATGGTTTCAGCAGTGGGCTAGGGAAAGGTAGAGCCAGGTTGGAATCCAGGTCTTTCTGACTCCAAACTCTGTTCTTTCTACCCTGGCTTGCTAAGTATGTTCACCAAGACTAAGACTAGAAGGGCTTGGGGATCTCTTTCCCTCGAGCAGCAGATCTGTGCCTAGGGCCCTCTGGGCTAAGTGAGCCAGGGACCCTGAGAGCCAGAGCCCCTTCAAAGCAGGCCCTGTGGCCCAGGTTCTCCATTGCCTGATCACAATTCCATTTTGCTGCAGAGGTGGCAACCCTGGCTGCCCACCACCCATTCAGCTGGAGCCAGGTCCTTCTGTACACCAGGGCCACGCAGACTTGGCCACACCCCAGAAGCCTTGTCAGGGCCACACACTAGACAGTGGCCCTCCTCACTCCTGGCATCACTCACCTGACCAGACTTCAGAGCCAGCCCCAGATTGGGGTGTGGCCTCACCCTCGTGCCCATGCCCAGAATGCCTTGGAGGCAGACAGTTGTAGGAGAAAGGACAGGGACGTTAGCGCTAGGCATTCTGAGAGCTCACGCCTATGGGTAAGCGTGCACTACCTAACAGTATGTCACCAAAATGAATTTCTGCACTTCTCTTAGCCTCTTTTTCCTTACCTCAAAGAACAATACCTGCCTACAGGCTGGTAGTGATAATTAAGTGAAGTAATATATCAGCGGCTTCAAGCACCATTCCTAGCACTTAGGAAAAACTCAGTAGGTGATAATAACTACTTACATTGATAATACTAATAAGCTGTGGGAGAGTATAATACAGAGCAAGTGGTTAATAAATTATAGTTCTCATTGTTACAACCATAATTTATTTATATCTCTTGCTGTCAGCTATGTAAAACCACACTGTGATGGATTAGAAGACCGGAACTCTAGATGGTTGAGAGAAGTTTGTCTTTCCCTTGAGAAAGGGCCAACTGAAGAGAGGAGCCTAATTGTGTTGGTTTATTGACGAAATAGCATGACAGTTCTTACCCCTAGCGTGATGGTGCTGGACAGGGAGCGGCGAAGCATGAAGGAGCAGGAGGACATTGTCTTTGGAGTGCAGAGAAGATAGATGCTTTTTAATATCAAGAGGAGTAAGAGGATTCCTTGGAGCCACCGTGCCCTCTGAGAGAGAAGAACATAGCAGTTCATTGTGTCATACCCATCACATTGACTCCTGTCATCCACGGGCAGGCAGGACATGCAGGTGCACTGGGTTTGATTAAGCTATACAGACCAGGGATCGTCAGTCCCAGTCTGTGTTGGATGCCTGCAGAGGAGAAGGAGGCAGCGCTGGGAGTAAACACAGATTGCAATGTATTTGTAGAAGAACCAGGTTTGAATTTTGACCTACCCATTTCTGTAAAGGCCAGGACTGGATTTGGGCCTAGCCATTTTCCTTCTCTGAGCTTCAGTTTACTGCACCATAAAGAAATAACCATCACAGAGGCTGGGACGTAGACAGTACTCAGTGCAAGCTAATTCCCTCCTCTCCCTTCATATTTGCTGAATGTGTCACAGGTTAGAAGTGCTTTTCATGTATATATTTTTCTATTTGATCGATCCTTACAAAAAAACCACAAGTACACCCATTTTATAGCTATGCAAACTAAGGCTTAGACAAATGAAGGAAGCACAATCAACACCCATGGAAGCCGCAGTCAGGAAATCAAAAGACGCATCGCATTGGGTAAATTTGCTGTAAAAGACCTCTTTATAGTGTTGAAAAGCAAAGATGTCACCTTGAAGACTAAGGTGCGCCTGACCCAAGCCATGGTATTGCGTGTGAAAGCTGGACAATGAATAAGGAAGACCGAAGAAGAATTGACGCCTTTGAATTGTGGTGTTGGCAAAGAATATTGAATATACCGCGGACTGCCAAAAGAATGAACAAATATGTCTTGGAAGAAGTACACCAGAATACTCCTGAGAGGCAAGGATGGTGAGACTACGTCTTACATACTTTGGACATGTTGTCAGGAGGGATCAGTCCCTGGAGAAGGACATCATGCTTGGTAAAGTACAGGGTCAGCAAAAAAGAGGAAGATCCTCAATGAGATGGATTGACCCAGTGGCTGCAACAATGGGCTCAAGCCTAACAACGATTGTGAGCGTGGTGCAGGACTGGGCAGTGTTTCGTTCTGTTGTGCACAGGGCAATTAGAGCTCATTATAGGCTCATAAGAGTCCTCATTTTGGGGATTACTTAATGGACGATGAAATTTTATCGGACAGAATCACTGAGAAATAAAATCATGCAGCAGCGCAGGGACGGTGGGCACAGGCCGACAGTCTGCTCTCGCTTTGAGTCGGAACCGATTTGACAGCACCTAACAACAACGACAGTAGACAGCTGGTGGAATGGTGTCCCAGGTCCAAGCCATCCTCTGGGACGCCCTGCTCCATGCATCCTCCACTGTGGCTCCTATGAGAGCTTCTAACGTTTTTCCTACGGCCGTTTTACCTGAAAAGTACTTTTGCGTGCACAGTCTCATCTCTTCTCACCACATAAGTCACAGAGATTACAAATCAAAGAGAAAGAAGTGAAAGCTGGACACTTTAAAATCTCCACGGCCGAAGGATGCAGGATTTGGTTTTGTTTTGTGTTAATTGACACAAGGCCAACAGTGACCTCTGACGATAAAAAAACCTTGTCTACGGCCATGAGTGGCTCTTGTGCCCCTGGGCCCGGCCTTGGCACATGGGCACGGCCGTGGGCAGGGGAACAGGGATGAACGGGGCTCCAGCCAGCTCCACTCAAGGGAAATATAACTCAAGCCACAGGTGTAATTTTACAGTTATAGCAGCCACATTTAAAAAAAATAAAAGTAAACAAGTGAGTTATTTCTTATTTTATTTAACCATGCACTTCTAAAATCTTACCATTTGAATATACAATCAAGATAAAAATTAAGGAGACATTTTACATTCTTCATTTTCATACTAAGATTATGAAATCCAGTGGGTGTATTTTACACTTACATCACACTTCAAATTGGACTAGCCCCATTTCAAGTTCTCAATAGCTGCATGTGGCTAGTGGCTACCATACTAGGCAACACAGCTGTAAACTCCTTTAGGATAGAATGGAAAGGACCCCGTTTCCTGACTAAACTTGCTTTGAGGGATGCCATAAAGGCTTCTTCATTATTATCCTTATTTTAACTGCCATTTATAGAACAACCACAATGTGCTGAAGTCCTGTGCTTGTGGGGTATGTATGTATGTATGAGTATGTAGGGGCAGTAGGGGCTCGGTGGTGGAATTCTCCATGTGGGAGATCTGGGTTCCATTCCTGGTCAATGTACCTCATACAGAGCCAACACTCGTCTGTCATTGGAGGCTGGCATGTTGTTAGGATGCTGAACAGGTTTCAGAGGAGCGTCCAGACTAAGACAGACTAGGAAGAAAGACCTGGTGATCCACTTTGGAAAATCAGTCAGTGAAAACCCATCACAACCATCTGATCCGCAGCCATCATGGGAATGGCTCAGGACCGGGTAGCGTTTTCTTCTGTTGTGCACGGAGGTATCATGCGTCGGGGGCCAACTCAATAGCAGCTAACAACATGTGTATATATGTCCAAATATAGACACACCTGTGCACATGTGCCTGCACACACACACACATATGCATACACACTCAAATGCTAAGAAGTATCATTGCCCCACCTTGTTAAGACTTGAAGGAAGTTAAGTACCCTCCCAGGCCTGCTCCAATTCACAGTTCTCTAACCCTATCTGTTGAATTCGATCTTGAGAATGTCATTCATTTTAGGTTTAGGATGTACCCTACTCTGGAAATAAATTCTCTACTGTCAGGAAATAAATTCCTGTTCCTCAAAGCCTCTCACTTGTGGTATTTTCTGTTACTTTGTGTGTGTGTATTATTTTTTGTTGCCTATCAGTGCTAGGAAACCCTGGTGGTGTAGTGGTTAAGTGTTATGGCTGCTAATCAAAGGGCTGGCAGTTTGAATCTACCAGGTGCTCCTTGGAAACTCTATGGGGCAGTTCTACTCTGTCCTATAGGGTCCCTATGAGTTGGAAGCAACTTGACGGCAATGGGTTTGGGTTTGTTTTTGTTTTTTTTTTTAAATCAGTGCTGGGTAACTAAATCTTCTAGTTTGTAAAATCGGTAGAATACTGGTACTTGTTTTGGAAGATGCTGCATTCTTCCAGCACTGAAAGGCAGCTTAGCTTTAGAGCTGACTCCCTCTGACTCTCTATACCGGGGACCTATTTGAGAACTCAGCCCACAGAAGTCAGGAGCAGGAGAGGAAGCTGCAGCGTGGGCAGAGGCTGAGGAACCAGCACAGGGAAGGATGGACATACATGGGCATCTCAAGGGATCGATGTCATCTACTTTGCACAGTCCCCAAGGACTGGTCCTCAACACACAACAGTACAACAACACAACTTTGTACATTCCATCCAGAGCACCCTGGGGCCATGGCAGTGTGGCCAGTCTCCTCTGAGGACACTTCCATTGGCTCAGAGCTCAGTGCTCAGGAATGTGGCTTCTCAGGTCCCAGAGACCAGGGCCAAATTCCAGCCCTGCTCCTACTCAGATGTGCGTGACCTTGAGCAATCGCTTAACCTTTCTGAGCACTAGTGTCTGTTATGGATTGAGTTTTGTCCCCCCCAAAAGAAACGTGGAAGTCCTAACCCCTGTCTTTGCTAAAATGACTCTGGAACTAGGGTTTCTGTTATCTTTATGAGGTCATACCAGAGTAGGGTGGGTCCTAAACCTAATCCCTTCTCAGAGGTGTCTTATAAAAAGAGCCAGAACGGACACATACACAGGTGGAAGACAGACACCATGTGAGAACTCATGAACAAGCAAAGGAAGCCCAAGAATTGCTGGCAGACACTAGATACTTTGAGAGAGGCCCACGGAAGGAATCGACATGGCTGAGAATCTGATTTGGAATTTTAGCCTCCAGAACTCTCAGGAAATAAATTTCTGTTCTTTAAAGCTACGCACTTGTGGTATTTTCTATTAGTTTTGTGTATGTATGTGTGTGTGTGTTATTTTTTGGTCTCTATCAGTACTAGCTAACTAAGTCTCCTGGTTTATGAAATGGGTAGAAGGCCAGTGCTTGTTCTTTAGATAGCTGTGTAGTTTCACGTACACATGTATATATAACGTTTAAAACAGTGTTTGGCATGGAGTCAACTCTTAATCCATGTTATCTCTTACTCAATTAGCTTACTTAATTGGCTCTCAGCTAATTAAGGAACCAGAGCTTGGCACCTGGACTAGACACATGCCCAGGATAAGAAGATATCTGCTCAGACATGTTTTTCTGGCAGGGGGAGGACACATGATGGAAAAGACAGGACATCAGTGAAGAAAACGGCATAAAGGGCAAACATTCCCAAGGCTGGAAGTCATGGGGAGGGCCAACCATTTACTGAGATTAGTCGGGCAGGTGGATTAGACCAGATTCCTTCTACCCTGATGGTGATCCTTCTAGAAACCTTTCCTGCCCACAGAACCTAGGAAGAGCAGCCCTACAACATTTTTCACTCTGCACACACCACTCACCCTTCCTGAGGTTGCTTACCCTTGGCTGACCACTGAGTGTTCAGTCAGGTTCTGTCTAAGAATGTGTCCTGAGGGAGAGAAGACCGACCTGTCAGGCGGTCATCAGGGCCAGGACGAACATCATGGGCATTGCAGCGGCCAGAGCCTCTCACGAGTTGTAGGCCAGCAGCAACTCTGAACAAGCCAGGTGACCTACTGGTAGAAAGACGGTGGGCTAGTGCAGACGTGCAGGGAACAGCATACCCAGGAAAACCTGTCACCCCAGAGAGCAGTCACCAGCTGCCATCGAGTAGACTCCGACTCATGGTGACTCCATGTGTATCAGATTAGAAGTGTGCTCCATAGGGTTTTCAATGGCTAATTTTTCAAAAGTAGATCGTCAGGCCTTTCTTCCGAAGTGCTCTGGGGGGACTCAAACTTCCAACCTTTTGGTTAGCAGCTAAGCATGTTAACCATTTGCATCACCCAGGGACTCCTGTCCAGGAGAGAGATGCCAACAAATACTTATTGATCACCTACTCTACGTCGGATCCTAATCTTGGCACTGGTGAAAGAGTAGTGAACAAACATATACAGCCCCTCCTTCGTGGAGCTTCCAGTCTTGTGGAGAAAGACGGGTAATAAACAAACTAAATAAAACATGGGTTATCGTAGATGCCAATAAGCGCCATGAGGCCCAAGGATGGGAAGGAATGGGGAGAGACGTCTCCAGGAGAAGGTGATATTAATGAAGATGTCAATGAGGAGGAGGACGAGTGGATGCTGGTCTGATCTCATGTCCTGCTCCAGCACCCCAGACCCTGCTGGGCATCTTGCCTGGGCTCACAGGCACAGCCTTTCCAGGGTCCCTTGAGAGCAGAGCATTTGTAAGGTTGTAGCTTTAGTGAATTTCCAAAAGGAAGATATTCTGTATTCTTTTTCTTAAGAACGGCCCACAAGTTGGAAAGGCTTTAGGCCCTACAAATCTGGACCTGCCCTGCTTAGGCTCCCTCAGAGCCCCGTTTCTGTTCCCTTGGGCTGTGGGCATCTGTAGCTTTCCACAAATGACTTCTGATGAGAAGAGCAGGACACACACCACCAGGGAAACACCAGGAAAACAGTGACCCAGGCTTCTGTGGAGGAAGCACAGGAGCAGGCGGACCGAGAGCTTCACCCCAACCGGGTCTCACACTAGGGCAGACAGGAGGGTGGGGTCAGGAGCCAAGACCACAGAATAAAGCAGAGAGCAATGGAGGGGAGGCCAGAGAGGAGGGAGCAGGGAAGTCATCTGCTGAGATGGAGTTGGGTGATGAGAGCTTGAAGCTGGAGCAGAACTTGTCCCTGTGCAGCCTTAATGCAAGCTGCTATTGGGTTGCTCTGGGACCAAGCCCAGCCCTGGGGTGTGAGGGTATGCAGGGCCTATAGGGTGGCTGGGGCCTGGACCACCTTCCTGTTGGATGGTAAAGGCAGGGCCAGGGAGAAGAGGGAGATGGGAGAGGCTACACTGTGAATATGTGGGCTTGACTCCACACATCAACCTGCCTAACATCAGAGCCTCAGCACGGGTCTGCAAGGTATTGGTGTGATCGCCCTCCCAGATGTGGGATTCCCCCATCTCTCCCAGGTCTTGCCCTGCTCCATCTGGGAACGTTTGCACTGCTCCTCCCAACGGGGAGCCCCTTGTTCCCAAGGGGGACCTGTCCCCTGTGGGAAGGCTCCCTGGGGAATAGAGGAGTGAGGACTTTGAAGCTGGCTCCTCCCCATTGTGGGGCCTGGGGCTTTCCTTGAGCCTGAGTCTCTTCACTGGGAAGAGGAGATGAGGACTGTTGCCTCTAGGACTGTTGTCGGGACAAAGAGAAACAGATAGGATGTGTCTAAACAAGTGAACGCTGTTCTCTTCCTTTCTGCTAAATCAAAACCTGCTTCCTCATAGCGTATCGTCATTTGAGTAGTTCCATGCTCTTGATTCTACTCCACACAGAATTCATTGCTCCCAGCTCCCAAAGCATGTCCTAAGGATTTCAGGCCCTTCCCTGTCCTGGTCACTCTTTGAGTAATGGGGCATTATTGCCCAATATAGACTAGACCACTATCTCACTGCTTCTAGAACTTTAAGACCTCCTTTGGACGGCATCACAGCATAATGGCTCCTATTCATGTTGCACTGAATGCCCTGCCATACCTGATTCCACGATGTGATAAGACTGAGGTCCATAAATTCTTGAACAAATCCCTTATGAAACTGGTCGATAACATCCCCAGCAAGAATAACAAGATGGCTGGAGGCTGCGTAGTAGGCAAGGCTCAGTCCAACCACAGAGAGCTGAAACATTGAACAGAAAGGCTTCATTCAGAGACACTCCCAAAGAAAGGGCCGACCTGGGCACCCCATGTGACTTGGGTTATAAATTAACGGTAAAATCACTGAACAGACACTTTATCTCCAATGCTATTTTGGCAGTAACACAACAGAGGGAGAAAGCTGCGATCATGTTGGAATTAGCTAGTGCATAATTAGTTTCCCATGACAACTACTTTTTATTTTCAGTTAAAGGTACTTTTTTGTTATTATTTTTTGTGAAGAAAGCGGTAGAAGGAAGAGAAGCTACCTCCAGCCAGTTGCTTGGTTTTCGCCAATAGCTGAGGATGCCTTCCTCAATCATAATGTAGAGTTGAAAACAGAGATGAACCAGGTTGAGTACCAGAAAGACCAGCTGATGGAGAGAAAATAAATACAAATATTGACAAATTTTTTTACCGTCTTAATTTTTGGCCAGTTCCCCGTCAATCACTTTTTGAGTATTACACAAGTTAATATTTTGCTCCTCAGAGTTTTGATAATGAACTTGCTATTCAGACAGCAGTTGGGGCAGCATAACACCTCTTCATGCACGAGCAGACTCATAGACCCCTACTCGGTGTCAGGTGCTGGGGGTACAAACTTGCGGAGGTCACTGTACTCATTGAAACCATGGACTGCAAATATATATTCTCTAGCTGCCTATCTGATCTCCTGACCTCCATGCCAGCCCCTTCCAGTCCTTCCTCTGCACCACTCAGAAGAATGAGTTCATATGTATATATGTGTGTGTAGTATTTAAAACCAAAAAAAACCCAAACGTGTTGCAGTGGAGTCAATTCCCACTCATGGAGACCCCACGTGTTACAGAGTAGAACTGCCTATAGGGTTTTCTTGTGCTGTAATCTTTCAGGAAACAGAATGCCAGGCTTTTCTTTTGTGGAGCCTCTAGGTGGGTTTGAACCACCAACCCTTAGGTTAGTAGTCGAATGCAAACCATTTGCACCACCCAGGGACCATGTGTGTAGTGTCAGATGCTGTCAAGTTTGCCCCCCAACTAATGGTGGCCGCACGCACAATGAAAACATAAGGCTGCCCATTCCTGTGCCATCCCCATGGTTGGCTGCAGATTGGACCGTTGTGATCCACAGAGTTTTCGTTAGCTGATTTTTGAAAGTAGGTTGCCAGGCCTTTCCTCCATCTTAGTCTGGGAGCTCCGCTGAAACCTGTTCAACAACACAGCAAACACACAAGCCTGCACTGACAAACAGGTGGTGGCTGCTCATGAGGTGAATTGACTGGGAATCGAAACAAGGTCAGTGAAAAAGAGAAAGACCCTCAATGAGATGGATTGACACAGTGGCTCCAACGATGAGCTCAAACATAGCAGTGATTATAAGGATGGTGCAGGACCAGGCAGGGTTTTGTTCTGTTATACATGAAGTTGCTATGAGTCAGAACTGACTCCATGGCACCTCATAACAACTTCTGTCTCTCTCTCATATCTTATCAGTTTCTGCCACCAAGTAAAATCTTGAAACGCTCCTGTGCTAGGAACTTAATTATTTTCTATTAATGCAGTTATCTCAACATTGATGAGTTACCCTTCATTCATGCATGCATACGTTCATTCATTCAGAAGAACAACAACAAGGGAGCTAAACATGTCTGAGGTCCCGTCAGCCTCGTGGAGCTCTTGTTGCCCTTTAAGCTGGAGGAGTCTCTTTAGGGGTCACACACCTGTCCTTCAGGGGATCAGTGTGGATTAACATTTATTTCAAGACAAAGAAAGAAAAGACATTACTGAGTGCCTATCAGGTACTACTTCTTTTTCTTTTTTTTACCATTTTAATTTTTTTTTTTATTGTGCTTAGATGAAGGTTGACAGAACAAACTAGCTTCTCATTCAACTACTACTACACATATTGTTTTGTGACATTGGTTGCCAACCCCACGACATGTCAACACTCTCCCCTTTTCGACCTTGGGTTCCCTATTACCAGCTTTCCTGTCCCCTCCTATCTTCTCGTCCTTACCCCTAGACTGGTATGCCCATTTAGTCTCGTTTTGTTTTATGGGCTTGTCTAATCTTTGGCTGAAGGGTGAAGCTTACGGGTGACTTCATTACTGAGCTTAAAGGGTGTTGAGAAGTCATACTCTCAGACTTCTCCAGTCTCCATCAGACCAGCAAGCCTGGTCTTTGTGCGTGTGTGTGTGTGTGTGTGTGTGTGTGTGTTTGTGAGTTAGAATTTTGTTCTACATTTTTCTCCAGCTCTGTCCAGGACCCTCTATTGTGATCCCTGTCAGAGCAGTCAGTG